GACCTAGTCCCAGGACAGTAGCTCAGTCTTTGAGGAATGTCTGTATAGAGCATTCATAATGTTCCAGGTTCTGAGACTAAAAACTCATAGCAGGGCTGGGATATAGCTCAGTGGCACAATACCTGCCTGGCAAGTGAGAGCTCCTGAGTTTGATCCCCAGTATACACACACGGGCGCACATACATGTACTCATGGACCAAAACTCATGGCAACAGAGGGACAAACAGCTAATAAAAAGGGAAGTGGGGATTTCTGAAGTGCTGATAATTCGCCATCTCTTGGTCTGGTCAGTGAATATACATGCCGCCCACTTTGTTGTTTTTTTTTTTAATATATAGAATTTATTTATTGAGGGAAAGAAAGCTCCTATCTGAAAGGACAGGAGGGCCCCCCCCCAGCAGGTTGTCCCACTTCGTATTAATGAGCTAAATTGGTAGTCATGATTTATCTTATACTTTTAAAGATTTTATTGCTGGGGATATAGCTCAGCAGCACAGCCTCTGCCTTGCAAGCCTGAGGTCCTGAGTTTGACTCCCAGTGCCCCCAAACAAACAAAACAAAAGGTAACAATCTTTTGCCAAAAAAAAAAGGGGGGGGGGCAGGGAGATGGCTCAGTAGAATAAGCACTTCCCTGGCAAGCACAAGGGTCTGAGTTCAATCCCTGGTTCCGCAAAAAAAAGTTTATTGGCTAGGTATGGTGACTTGTGCCTATGGTCCCAGCACTTGGGAGGTTGAGGCAGCAGGAGGATTGCTGCAAGTTTGGGCCCAGCCTGGGCTACAAAGTGAATTCAAGGCCAGCTTGAACTATGCAATGAAATCCTGTCTCAAAAAGACCAATTAACTAAATGAAGTAAATTTACCAACGGCTATGTTTGTAGCTCAGTCATAGAGCATTTGACTAGTGAGGGAGGAAGGGCCTAGCATGATACACATACAAAAAATTTACCAAACATGACAAATGATGCAACCACAATAGATGTACTAGATACCTAAAAAGAAACCCAGAGGCAGTGACATCTAAGATGTTTTGTTTGTGATACTGATGATTAATCCCTGGGCCTTCCCACTGAGTTATATCCCCAACCCTTTTTTATTTCTTGGAGACAGGGTCTCACTAAGTTGCTAAATTCCCAGACTGGGCTTGAATTTTGCAATCCTCCCACCTCAACCTCCCAGAATGCTGGGATACTAGCATAAGCTACCACACCTGGGTTCTGCACTATATTTGTTTTGTTTTGTTTTTTGGTGGAACTGGGGATTGAACTCAGGCCCTTGCACTTGCCAGGGAAGCACTTATCTTGAGCCATCTCCCCGGCCCCCTCTAAAGTATATTTTAAGGACAAATAAGCACATCAGATACTTAAAAGGAAAAAATATGGTCTAAGACAGTGATGATGGACCTGTGTGCCACAGTGGGCTGTTGCATCATTAAAAGCTTAGAAAAATTGCCATCAAAAAATAAATAAAATTTTAAGAAATTGCCATCACTGATCTAAGAGAAGGAAAACCATAGAGAAAAATGTACCAAACCAAATATTAAGTTTGTCAAAAAAAACTAGTTTTCATTCTAGTTCAAAGATGGTAATCCAAACAGTGGGAGCATAGAACACAGCAAGGTACATTAGGTTACAATTGTAAAGAGCATTTCATCACCAATTAGATCTCTGTTAAAAGGAAGAAATGGGAGCTGGAGATGATTCTTAATGTGCCCAAAACAGCAATCTGATACTCCAAGCCTGCCGCTATCTACTGCCTCACCTGCCATTCACTATTCAACCACAAGCTATACTCCAGAAACTTTTTCTCCTTTCAGTAAACCTCTCCTGGCCAAGATTTAAGGTTCAGTCCCAGCTTTCAAGGAGCTTCTAAAACTCAGTTTCTAGCACTCTGTAGGCAAATAGGGCCATTGACAATACAGTACAGCACCATGGAACTGTGCCTTTAAAAAATGAGTGATGTGCATTGCCAGGACTATAAGCCCACAATGGCAATGTCTGTAATCCCAGCACAGAGGGTAAGACTACACACGTTCAGGATGCACTTAGGCAACTCAGACAGATGCTGCCTCTAGACAAACAGCTAGCTAGCTGCGGTGTAGTTCAGTGCAAAGGCCTATAGTTTGTATTCCCTAAAGCAATGGCTGTGAACCTATCACACACGTGCTGCGGGGGTAGGCAGAGCCCTCTGTCAGCATTACAGACACAACACCCCAGCACCAGAGCATCAGATGACAATTGATTTTTCTAAACTAAAACCTCAGGATTCAGGTTTAATTGCAGTGTTGGCACTTCGGGATAAATAAAATGGTTTTAGGGTTGCAGTTTGGGCAACCCCAAACCTTAATCTCTAAAAGGTTCACCATCACTGCCCTAGGGGATAGGGGGGCTTAGCAAAAAGTTTTGTTACTGAATACAAAAATGTAGTGTGTCTGTGTGTGTGGCTTCTGAGACAAGGTCTCACTCACTATATAGTGTAAGATGGTCCTAAATTCACTATGTAGCCCAGGCTGGCCTCAAAGTAGTGGTGATCCTCCAGCCTCAGCCTCAGCCTCAGCCTCAGCCTCAGCCTCCCAAGTGCTGGGATTACAAATGAGCACCACCACACTCAACCTGAAAATGCTGTCTTGAGATATGAGACTAAGAGCTCCTCATGTGAGGAGGAGATGGTACAAGGGACAACGTGCAGGCACCATTGAGGAAATAACTTTACAAAGAAAATTCGTATTTTTAGCCATCTCATTTCTCCAAAATGTAACTCTCTCCCCCATCACTTTTCCCCTCACTAAATTCAACTCACTACTTCCACAAGCATACAAATACAAGCCTTCTCCCCGCATTGGCAGGAGTCAGAAAGGTTATCATACCATGAAACTCCCTACAGTGGGTTATTCACCTTCAAAATAAAACTAAAACACGCCTTCTGTGACTCAGCCTTCCCTTCCCCAGCAATCTCACATGAGGTCTCCCCTCCACCTACCCCCCAAGCCCCCTGGTACTCAAACTAAATAAACAGATCTCATTCAGGCCTCTAAAACACGCAGTCTTTCCAGTCTCTCATTTTTTACACCTGCAAGGGACTCTGGTTCAGCATACATACCATCATGGCCACCACAAGCACTGTCGCCTGTCATGTCTCACACTGTCACTTTTATTTTTCAGACTGGGTCTTGCTATGTAATTCAGGCTGACCTCACACTCACTGTGTAGAGCCTTAAACTCGCTGCAATCCTCCTGCTTCAGCCTCCATAGAGCTGGGATTAGAGGCGTGTGCCACAGATCCCACTCACATTGCTACCTCCTCAAAGAACTTCCATGACCAGTTTCTCTGGATTTCCATTTCTGGATGCAGAAGAGGAAACAGTACCATTTTGAACGTAATGAATCGAACTCGGGGCTTGCCCATTAGCTCAGGTGCTTAAGTGCCTGCTGAAACAAAGCAGTCAGGCTCAGGATGCTGTGGTTCGATCCCCTCATCCTCAAGTCAAACCAGATCTGCCCGGGAGGCATCCTGAGCGCCCCTCCCCCAAAAAAAGACTCTAACTCAATTCACATTTCAACCAACCCAAAAAAGTCACTACCTCCCAGAAGCCTTCTATACTTACTCAAGTAATTTATTAAACTTATTAGCCACCTCTGCATGGTTGGTCCCCCCAAGTTTCTGCTTGCCTTACACAGTTTCTGACCAATATTGTTACAGCATTAGAACAATCTGTCTCATACTACACCTGGGTGTGTGCCCACATTACTACACTGTGAGTCCTTAGAAACAATTAACTGTCTTCGTGAGACCAGAAAAAAAAAAAAAAAAGGAAAAAAATATCTTCAATGCGATAAAAGTCAAGAAGGGTCAACAATTAAGCTTAGCCTATGCTGAGCCGGCCAGAGTCCGAGGGTAGTGATGGAAGCCTGTAATCCCAGCTCTAGGAAGGGTGAAAGTAGGAGAGTTCGAGCTGCGAAGTGAGACCCCCGCAGTCAAAACTCTAAAAAAAGAATCACTGCTAAAAACAAAATACTCTGTGAAGTTGCCTATCCCGTCTTTACAATGCGTTGTAAAGACTTCTTTCATCATAAACACAAAATAATTTTGATTTAATGGAAAACTTAACATATCTTACTTTTATAAAAATTTCCGAAATTCTGGCCAAAACACACGCCGAGAAAAAAATTTAAAGACGCTGGAGGATCGGAGGGTGTTAAAGCTAGCCTCCGGCCAACCCCCTTCTGCATTACTGGGAAACCATTGCTGCCAGGCCAAGGTTAGCCATTCGGACATTTTTCCAACAAGTTGCTCATACATACAGAGACTCTTGAAAGTCAACAACAAAATACTTCCTAGTGCCACGCCTGAAAACGAAGTCTACGAGCGAAGTGTGTCGGATTAAGCGCACAAGTGGTTGAGTATACCTTCGAAGTAAAGGTTTACACGGAAAACACCGGGTGTGGCGCACCTTTCGCCATCAAGGCTGGCTGTGTCGGAGAAGGGAGAGCCGGGACTTTCGAGTCCGCTCGGGGCGGAACGCGGGCTGCGCCAACGTCCAGACCCACAGCCCGAGGAAGTTTCAGGGGCGGAGGGGGAGGGGAGCTGCCGCCCAACCAAACAACAATCACTTCCCTGGAAAACAACGGCGCGCCCGCCCCTCCCAGCGGCCCCGAGAGGGCGCAGCCCGGCCCGGACGTGCGCGCCGAGGGCCTCGGAACAAAGTTTAGAAGCCAGGAGAAACTTTTTCGAGAGGAAGCTCCGCCGCTTCGCGGGGCCTGTGGCGTCGCCTCTTCCCCAGCCGCGGCGGCCCAACTTCACCGCAGCCGGGAAGCGCTCCCTCCCGCGCGCCCGCAGCCCGGGCCCAGTGGGGAACGCACGACCTGCGCCCGCCGGGAGCCCAGAGCCGAACGGCGCCCCCGCAGAGACCGCGGCCCGCGAGGTGCGGCTAAAGCCAGCCGTCCCGAGGAGCGCTCGCTGGGCTGGGCACACCCGCGCCCGCGCGGAGGAAGGTGCGAAGTTACCTGCGGTGAACTGGGCGAGCACAGGAGTCGGGAGGCGAGAAGCGCACAGCCCGCCGCTTTGTCTCCCTTCGGGTCCGGCTCCGAGGAGGAAATGGGCCGCCCGGCGCCCCCGCCCCCCGCCCCGTGGCCCCGGCCCCGCCCGCCCTTCCCGGCACCTCCCTCCAGCGCGCTCTTCCCGGTGCCTCCCGCTGCCACAGCGCCCGCGACTCCGGCTCCCTCCGGCGCGCTCCCCTCCCCTCCCCTCCCCTCCCAGCACGCACACACCGCGAAGGGAACTCGGCCAGGCCAGGCCGGGACCTCCAAACAACCTCTCCCTCTGTGTTCCCACCCCAGAGTTCCTTCGCGCAAACCCTGGGGATACTCAAGACCGAGAGTGATTCCCGGGAGGCGGGAGGAGTGTTCACTCCTAGAACAGCCTCGCCGGGGCGGGCTGGGAGGGCAGGTGAGTCACCGCGCCCGGCACAGGTGAGGCTTGGCCCGCCCCGGCAGGCCTCGCCCCCTGCATGGCTCCCGCTGGTCCGGGCGTTGCGACTCGGAGTCCTGGGTGTGCTTTCCTGAGGAATGGCACACAGGTGTCCCAGAGTTCCAGGGTCCTGGAAAAGTGCGCTAATCCCACTCTGGTTTTACCGAAGGAAAGACTGAAACCAGATTAAATATCCAATTGAGTGTAAAGTGGAAGTAGAATCTGACTTTACCGGCCTTTGGACTGGGGATCGCTCTGTGGCAGTATTTGCCCAGCATGTGCAAACCCCTGCCTCAATCCCCAGCACCGTCAAGAAACAAAGTGAAGCAGAATAGTCCCTAGAAATCACCTACTGGTCCCATCACTCAACAGATGGAGAAACCGAAAGCCCTCCTGATCAGAAACTGGAGGCCCATGGTAGTGTTCCCTCCTAGCATTGTTACCTTCCCCAAAGCAAACAAATTTGAGGGACCTGACTTCTATCCCTACTTTCTGACTTTTTTTTTTTGCGGAACCGGGGATTGAACTCAGGCCCTTGTGCTTGCCAGGGAATTGCTTATTCTACTGAGTCATCTCCCCGGCCCTTTTGTGACCATTTGGGTAAGTTTATTTGGATCCTTTTTTTTTTTTTTTTTTTTTCCTTGAATACTCAAAAATTTAGAAAGAAAGAAAGACATACAGGGGCTGGTGAGATGGCTCAGCGGTCTAAAGCACCTACTTAGAACAAGCTTAGCAAAGCACAGGGACCGCGGTTCAATCCCCCAGCACCACATG